GTCCCCACGAGGCCTGGGGAATGAGTGGAAGTGGGGGGGGGGGGGGAGCCTGACGGTGGGCCCCACCCCTCCTCCAGGTGGACTCTCCTAACCACAGTGGGCAGACTCTCTATGAGCAGGTGGCGTTCACCAATTCCAGCTGGGATGCTATGGTGTAAGTTGGGGCAAGGGGAGATCTGAGAGGTGAGTGGGGAGCCTGAGCCTACAGAGCCCTTCTGCCTTCCTGCCTCTAGGATCCGGCCCCTGCCCATGGACAGCAGCGCCTATTCCTTCACAGCCTTTGCAGGGGTCCCTGCCGTGGAGTTTTCCTTCGTAGAGGTGAGACCTCTTCGCCCTACCCCAGAGTGCCAGTCCCTCCATCTGTCTGCACCGTGCCCCTGCCCCAGCCCCTCCCTGTCCCAGCAGGATAACCAGGACTACCCGTTCCTGCACACGAAGGATGACACATATGAGAATCTGCACAAGGTCCTGCAAGGCCGCCTGCCCGCTGTGGCCCAGACTGTGGCTCAGCTCGCTGGGCAACTCATCATCCGGCTCAGCCATGACCACCTGCTGCCCCTCGACTTCGGCCGCTATGGGGATGTAGTCCTGAGGCACATCGGCAGCCTCACAGAGTTCTCTGGGGATCTCAAGGTCCAAGGAAGTAGCCCCGCTCCTAGCCTTTGGGGGTGGGGGCGCCATGTCCCTTCACAGTGCTGCCCAGGCTAGGGCTTGGGCTCCCCCTGACACACACCCAGTCCCAGAGCTCCAGGTTCCCTTTGGTAAGCTGGCCCGTCTACTACTGCATCCAGTGCCGAAACCTGGAGGGACATCCCCTCCCCCAAATCTGCCCTACCCCAACCTTGTAGGTCCAGGGTCTTCTCCCCTCTCCTTCATTCAGCCCCTAGCATCGTGTTCACCCTTGCCTACCCCCTCCTGCCAGCCCCAGAATCCCAGCCCCAGCCTCGCCCCGCCCCCGCCCCCAGCACCTTGACCCCATTCTAGGCCGGAGCCCTGGCCACTGCTGCCAGCCCCAGCCTACCCTCCATCCTTAGGCCCGTGGGCTGACCCTGCAGTGGGTGTACTCGGCGCGGGGGGACTACATCCGGGCAGCTGAGAAGCTGCGGCAGGAGATCTACAGCTCAGAGGAAAGCGATGAGCGGCTGATGCGCATGTACAATGTGCGCATCATGCGGGTGAGGCTCTGTCCAGGCTGGGCCCTTCCTGCCCTTTCTCTTCCGTTCCTTGTTCGTTCAGCCGGGGGCAGCTCTTCCCACGCCCTGGCCCCTCCCTCTCCACTCTCTCCGCCTTCATTCAGCTGGACAGTCCCTGTGGACCGACGCACAGTGCTCCCAGACCAGCCAGGCTAGAGGACCTGAGTGATCATTGAGGCTGGCCGTGATGAAATGGGTAGAGAAGGCCAGCCCTTTGGCCGCAACCACCCACAGGTGCCCCACATGGTTCACAGTTCACGGCGGTCCTAATAGTCCACAGTACAAGAAGCACAGGGCTACCACCTAGGAGGCACAAAACGCTAAAGAAATTCAGAGCTCAGCCTGCTCTCTTCCTTCTGGTAACGAGCTGGGTGAAATCCAGGAATGCTGCCTAGAGTAAGTGTCACGTGTCCTGTGAAAGTTAAACAAGAGCTTAGTCCTCTGCCAATTCCGATTGCTAAACTTGGAATATTTTGCAGTCTGCACCTCATCTCCAGTACTGACCCTTCCTCTTTCTTCCATTTTCTCACCCGGGAACTTGACCCTCAACCCTTTGATCTCAGAAAATGGATCAAGAGGGGCTGCAGGCATGGGAAAGGTCCATAGGATGAAAGGATAAGCAGG